GTTCTGCCGCTAAGCATGTCATCTCGTTGTCGTGGCGTCAGAAAGACTCTCTCAGCGCTTATCTTGCCTCTTTTGTCAGAACGGGCAGGAAACTGTCACAAGAAATGTTAAGAGTAACGCATGCCCTTCAATACGCTTCCGTTTTTGGTCATATCCGGATGTATAAACAGCAAAGCTATATCACTCAGATTTATTTCGCTTTTGATTTAAATCGTTTTGGCTTTATACCTGCGATCTCTACCCCGCCAAACGGATGATGGAACATGGCCTTGTGACATTATCGCCATAAAATGATTATGCACCTGCGCCCTAACTTCTAATCTTCTTAAATAACCTGCTGTCTTTCCTGCACACTGACCCTGTTATCTAACGAGATTCAGTTACCATCGCCAGGTGTAACAGAGGACAAAATACTTAGCAACTGGGAGTCATGAGCATTTGTGATGAGAGAGATCATTGTAGATAGAGAGCGCGGGGTCAGACAATGATCAGTGCGCGGCAAAAGAGCGGTTATATTCTCCTACGAAATGCTAATAGTCTCCGGTCTTCTGTTTAACGAAATGGCTGGATGTTGGAAGTATTTCTCAACATAGTTATGAGTTACATGAGATGCCTTTTACACAGATATTACGAATATTTGCAATTGTTTGAAAAAAGTGTCTTCCAGGTAAAATCGAGACCATGCACGATATAATCCAGCAGACACAGTCTTATGAAGTCAAAAAGGGTAATTTCTCACACGTCATGACTCATATCACAACTTCACCGAAATTACCGTCTCATTTCCACTTATTATTCATATAGCATTACATTTTTTTTTTCTTTTTACCATTTAGGTCGGGTGCCACCTTTGCCACTACGGCGGCCTTGCTCCAACGGACACCAACCCTTGCCCAAGCGACTGCTCAGACAAGCCCCTGGACGGCCCTGTCTGCGGCTCTGACGGGAATGTTTACAACTCGACCTGCGACCTGGAATACAGGACTTGCGGGTAAAGTATCTGTGTCTCTGAGTGTATGTGGGAAGAGAGGGGGAGGGGGGCTTGTGTCTGTGGGAGGAGGGGGAGCTTGTGGAGGGGGGATGTGTCTGTGGAAGGAAGGGGGGTGAGGCTGAGGGTGTAGGGGGAGGGGGGGGGATTGTCTCTGGGGTGTGTACTTGCGTCTGTTGTGTGGGAAGTGTGTCTGTGGGTGTGTGCTTGCTTGCTGTGTCTATGACTGTTTGTGTACACGGTTTGTCACTGGGTATATACTCATACCTATAGACGTATACATGTATTTTATTAAGAAATTCAAAATTAACACCCATGTTTTTTCGAATATCATTTACCTGCAGGACCTTAAATACAGAATTAATAATACCCAAGTATCTTTATTCTTTAAATTAAATCCAAATCCCTTTAGCCACGTATCTGTCTCTAACATAATTTTCCCTTCTGCCAACAGTCAAAAGGTTGTCAAGACATCATACAAGCACTGCCAGACGACCAAGCACTGCCAAGATGTGTGCTTCTTCTCCTTTAAGCCTGTGTGTGCTTCCAACGGCCGTATGTACAACAGCAAGTGTCAGATGAAGATGTTGAACTGCGGGTGAGTTTTGCTATATATATATTGTTTTTTTTTTCGTTTGTTTATTTGTTACGGCTGTGGGTTGTGTTCTTATGAATCTTTCTCTCCCTCTGTTTTGTTTTTCTTTTCTCAACTATGGTTATTAGTAATCTTTATCACAATGCCTTTGCATTTTAATTATTCGTATTTTCAAAGTTATTGATGTTGCAACAAGGATGGGAAGACATAATCGGTATCCTCAGCCAACATTCCAGTACCACCCCCTTGTCCTCCCTTCCCTCTTCCTCTCCCTCCGCTACACCCAACATCTCACCCTTCCCTCCTGCCTCATCCCACCCTCCACAGCCCTTCCAATCATCTTTACAATCTCCTTTTTTGCCCTCTCCCCTCCCCGCCGCTCCCCTCTAAATTCTCTCTCTCTCTCTCTCTCTCTTCTCTCTCTTCTCTCTCTCTCTCTCTCTCTCTCTCTCTCTCTCTCTCTCTCTCTCTCTCTCTCTCTCTCTCTCTCTCTCTCTCTCTCTCTCTCTCTCTCTCTCTCTCTCTCTCTCTCTCTCTCTCTCTCTCTCTCTCTCTCTCTCTCTCTCTTCTCTCTCTCTCTCTCTCTCTCTCTCTCTCTCTCTCTCTCTCTCTCTCTCTCTCTCTCTCTCTCTCTCTCTCTCTCTCTCTCTCTCTCTCTCTCTCTCTCTCTCTCTCTCTCTCTCTCTCTCTCTCTCTTCTCTCTCTCTCTCTCTCTCTCTCTCTCTCTCTCTCTTCTCTCTCTCTCTCTCTCTCTCTCTCTCTCTCTCTCTCTCTCTCTCTCTCTCTCTCTCTCTCTCTCCTCTCTCTCTCTCTCTTTCTTTCTCTCTCTCTCTTCTCTCTCTCTCTCTCTCTCTCTCTCTCCTCTCTCTCTCTCTCTCTCTCTCTCTCTCTCTCTCTCTCTCTTCTCTCTCTCTCTC